TGCATTGACACTTCGTTCACCTTGTACTTTCTCATAACAGTACCTGGACATACTCAGTGGTCGTCTGAAACTCTGGGACGGTGGCTTCCTGGACGTTTGAGAATGTCACCAGTCATGAAGCCACCTTGTTTCTTGAGCGTCATGGATAGTTTATGGTAATGGTTCAGAAGGTCAGGAGCAGTTTCCACTGTTCGGTAGGAGCTCTCTCTTGATAGCTCACTTGAAGGAAAAGCTGCTTCAACCAGTTCCACCATTTGTGTCAAAATTGACGAGGTATTGTCAGGTACAGCAGTGATGTGAATAGCATGCAGCATCACTGCTGGTAGTCTGCGGGCAGAAGCAGAAGAGAAATCATTCCTGTTCAAAGACAGCCAATTTAATGCCTGGATCCCACATTCAGAAAATGGCTAGCAATAAAACACGTTCCACCTTTGCAACTCCCTCAAACAGGGCGCGAAATAACGGTCGGACATCGGACAATTTCCGGACGTTTACGCAGTTTCCGGATGTTTTGTACAAATCCGGACAAAGTGTCCGCGCACTTTTTGCAAAGTACAAAAAAGAAAAGGCACTTCAATCCTTTGTCTCATAGTCATTAGTGATGTCGTCTGGCAAGAGAAAGCCAAGCACCGCTGATGCGGGTGCTCCTCTTGGAAAGAAGCCCAGAGGAGTCAAGACGACCACTTGTGACAAGTGGGTCGCCGAGCATGATACTTTATAGGGAGCTTTCAACTTCTGTTTGGCTGAGCTATGAGCGCAGTCCCTCAGATCGTAGCGTTGTCGAAAATTTCAAGTGTAAGATGTGTTCCCGTTTTGTTGATAAAATTCGCAGCAGCAAGGATTTTTCTGACTCCTTCGACCTTCGTCGTTGACTCAAGGAACCTGAAAACGTCAGCCTTCAAAGATCATGCTGCTTCTGAAATGCATCGTCGTGATAACATTTCGATAGTATTAATTCTACACTGAACATTGTGTGATTTGATGTGAAAATTTGCATGTCCGGACATGTCCGGCCATTTTTGCAACTGGCAGGACATTGTGTCAGAGCATATGTTAATCCTTAGCGCATGCCCTGCTCAAACAAACGAGAGAGCTGGGAAGCTCAGGGCCCTACGCTATGCTTTTAAGCTTTTTTGCCTAGCTCATCGTACATGTTATTGGAACTGATGGAAATGTTTTTTTTTCCGTTGATTGGCCACATCATTGTATTGCAAAAACGTTTCAATCACTTTGAATATGAGTTAGGCAAAAGTGTTTGCAGAATTTATTGCGGATTGTTATTTTTCTCTAATTTCATCCACTTTTGGTTTGCTCCGTCTTTTCTTTTTATCTCCTTATACTGTAAATCAACAAATTTTGGCCGATGAGAAACTTTGGCCGATGAGAAACGAAACTTTTCGCCGTCATTAAACTATGGCGATTGGAGTGTTCAAAAAGAAATCGATCGGTATTTTTTGCTCTCACATGCATCCATTGCTCAATCATGCATCGTTCGCCTCTATGACAAACTTTGGCCTGCGATTTACTTTGGCCGGTTGGTACCAAGCGGCAAAATCAGCGAAATTAAATCGCCAGCGAAAATTAGTTGATTTTAATCGACCTGACACCTAGCTCCAACACATCTACGCGTGGCACTCGCTAACTGTTTAACACATATTGTATTATCTGGTTATTTGGTGAATAGTTAGCCATAACTGGTAACATTTTTGTTCTTCCCCTTTTTATCCATGTTTACTTGTTGCGTTAAAGGGGAAGTAAGGTCTAAAATCAAAATGTCACCAATTGTATTTCAAAGTAGTCTTCGGTGTGCTGAGTCGAATGGCCTTGGTCCAAGGAAGCTGAGACGCTCCCTTCCTCCTTTATTCCCAATTGAACTCGCGCACTTTCACTGAAACTGGGTGGCTGTGCCCTACTACATAGGGATTTGTGTGGAAAAATCATGCGGCACTGAAAGCATATTAAACTTCGTTCTTATAGAAGCACTGATGAACGTAAAACTCCCAGAACCTGTAGTATTCTGGGCGCTGGATCGAATGGTCTTGGTCCGAGGAGGCTGCGATACAGCGCTCGGCCCGTATTCCCAATCGAACGAGGTCGAACACAATCCCGTACCGATGCGTACACCAATCATCTGGACACTGTGCTATGTGCCAGTTCAGTATAGTGCACCTTGCAGACCTGCAACCTCGAGTATGAGTGCATCTCTTGTATCGTGTCAGTGGCTCAGTGCAAGCCGAATGGTGTGACCACTGTTCTCTGTGCACTGACAGTAGTGGATGTAACATTTGAGTTTGTCCAACATCAACACACAATACTCCACACACAAAATGCACTCAACAGCTAGCTCCAGACAACGACTGGGGTTTTATTTACATAGAATAAGGAAAGGTAAAGATGAGCTGTCAGGATGCGTATATATACACAGTACGGGAATGGGTAGGTAACTGATCCAAGAACGGATCGGGTACATCAATAGACTCATGAGAGCGCAGAGTAAATATAACGATATATACATGTAGATTGTGTTATCCATTTATGGGTAAGTGGAACGGGACCACAACTGTGGCCTGAGACCAGCTATGGCTATCGTGCTAGGGACGGTAGGGTGCACTTGTCTTTGAGTCTCAGTGTAAAGTGCTTCTTTCGCTTCCAGGTTCATGATAACAGTAGCCGCGTAGCACCTCGTGTTTTATTTTTGCTATCTACCACGCAAGGCGATCGTCAGCACATCTTTGACGAGGCATCCTATCTTGAGACAAGCACTGTTCGGTGCCTGATAGAAACTGCAGCATGACCGCACCGACTACATAGTCATTGCAGCAAAATGAGCAATCATACAATACTATTATCAATGCTCCATCGCCACGCAACATGAGCACTCGCACCAGAAGACTTCTCTCCTTTTCCACGATCATCATGATATTGGACATGATTGCCCATTTGACTTGCGATGTAAAATAAACTAGATGCAAATCACAAGTGCATGTACTACGCCGACTCTGGCTTCAGGGGACCAGGCTTCTTGCGACACATGCATCAGTTACAGCATGCAGCTTCCTTCTCACTTGCCACATGCTCCATGCTGCTGTCTCGCAAACTCTGCAGCTCCTCACTGGCGTATGCTAACAGCTGAACGACTCTTTCAGGTAAATGCTCTGAGGGCCGGGGTTTCAGGCCCGCCCGAAGGCGGGCGGAGTTGGTCCGGTTTGAGGGGGGGGGGGGTCAGGGGATATCCCCCGGGAATTTTCTTGACAAATCCGGTCGAAAATAGCAGAATTTGGCCCTTTCACAAGTTTTCAGAACCCACGACAGGGAATAATTTTGCATGGATATCAATGTTCAATGTATGGCCAACTATAGGTAGGCATGGGCGGGTAATGCTAGCATTATGGCTGGCATTATAGTCCCTTTTTTCCAGGTGGCATAATGCTGGCATTATAACACCATTTCGCATGCAAAATTGGCATTACAAGTGTTGAATACGAAAAAGGACAACTGACGACATAGCTACCCAGGCCAACGGAACAAAAGGAGACAAAAAGTGAGTACGCAAGTGCATGCAGGCCAGCTAGAAAAGGTACGGGGGGAGGTACCTAACACAAGCATAATTACGTCGACAATGGTGTCATGCATGAAGCTGGCTAGGTCCAGTTCCGAAAATCGTGCATCTGAACCCGTCCGGCTTCGTCCGGAGACTTGACGTTGTAAATCAACCTTCTCAGTGGATTGTTTCAGACAACATGCTCACTGCTGTTTAAGTTTTTTCTTCTACGCTTTGGCCTTGATCCAAGACGGCCTTCTTAAATCGACTTTTCCAACATTCAAACTGGCATTATGGAGCGTTACAAGTGGCATTATATCCTCATAATTATTATGAGCATTACCTTTAGCATTATCGCAGCAAATAACTAGCATTACCCGCCCATGCCTAACTATGGGAGTATGGGTGCATGTACATAATTATGTACATGTATACATGATCGATAAGTCATGTACATGTACATGTATGGACCCAGAAGTTTTCCTCCCCCGTTTTAGACGAATCCCAGGGCCAGAGTTTTATTTATTTATGTTTTATAGTTTTTTAAAGTTTTTTTTACACACAAGCGGAAAAACCGTCAGAGATCAAATTCCATTACACAGTGTTTCACCGTTCAAGCAACGGATCATCAGATGGATGATCAAACAAAGTATGATACACTGGTTATATACTCAGAAGGTGTGAACTCCGTCACTATGGAGTGTGAAGATTATCATTATGTCGGGTCCCGGATGTGACAAGTCCATTTTTCATGATGCATTGTACAGAGTGCCTAGGTGCTAGATGAGGGTGATGAGGGTACAATGCATCATGAAAAATGGACTTGTCACATCCGGGACCCGACATAATGATAATCTTCACACTCCATAGTGACGGAGTTCACACCTTCTGAGTATATAACCAGTGTATCATACTTTGTTTGATCATCCATCTGATGATCCGTTGCTTGAACGGTGAAACACTGTGTAATGGAATTTGATCTCTGACGGTTTTTCCGCTTGTGTGTGATGAAGCTCTGCCTCGCTTGCATTGAGCACTCTCCGCAGTTTGAGACCATTCCCTTGTGTAAAGTTTTTTTTACAAAGTTCACAGCTCACAGGCAAAGACAAAAAAAATGCATAGTGGGAGCATAGTGATGGTGAGGCTTTTTGCCCTCAGCTGACCTGAGATCTCGACGTCATGGGGACATAAAACGCACCAAAAAAAAAAGAAAAATGAAAGGAGTGACAGGTACATGATACGAAATGTTAGGAGGAGAGACAGTACATTAGAAGGAGGGGAAGGATAAGACAGACAGTGCTAGGAGGAGAAGGAGAGAAAAGAAGAACAGACGTTATTGGGATTAGTATGTGGAGCGGAATTGGGAAGTCATGGGGTGAGGCAGATAATCAGAGATGGTCATGTGCCCACGACCAGTCGTTGCTCTTCAAATAGCGGGTGGCTGCAACTTTGAAGTGTTGCAAGTTCTTGGTGCAGAATGGACCAGAGAAGACTCCGGCGGGCAGCTGGTTCCAGACGGGGACAACTGCGTGAGGGTAGGCTTGACACAGGTTGTTTCGGGAACAGACTGGAAGTTCATTTGCCAGTTGGTGTGTGTGAGCATTACATCTCTGGAATGTACTACGGGTGGAGTGGACTGTTCGGTGTTGGGGCTGCTGGGGTGGCAACATCCTCTGTAGAAGGGGATGTGCATCCGGACAATGCATCTTGTGCAGGAAGCAAAGTGCTGCAACCATCCGGCGAAGAGCAAGACTTGGCAGCCAACACATTGGGGCGATGGCGCGGATGGCCCGGGCTTGCACACGGTCGAGTCTTGCAAGATGGGATCGGGCCGCTCCCATCCAGACAATGGGGCAGTCCTCCATCACTGGGCGCACAAAAGAATTGTAGGCTTGGATGCGACCGGGCACGTCTACTTACGCAAAGCGCCAAGTCGCTGTGTTGCCCGGAGGGCTACAGTACGAAGGTGGCGCCGGAAGGTAAGCTGACCATCGAAACTGATGCCGAAGATGTTGAGCTCCTCTTGTTCCGTCACGTTAGATCCGTTGAAGTCAATCGGTGGCATGTCCCATTGGGTGCGGTGGAAGCTGACAGTCTGTGCCTGGGATTTGGCTGGTTCAAATTTTATTTTCCATTCTTGACCCCAGCGGGAGATGTTGTTGACTGCTAGCTGGAGGGCTTGGGTGGTATCTTCTTGGGTGGTGGGGGTGATGTTGGCATACAGCGTAGTGTTGTCTGCGAACGAGGCTAGGTCAGCACCGGCTGGTACGTGGTCCTCGCAGTCGTTCACGTATATGAGGAAGAGAGTCGGACCCAGAATACTGCCCTGGGGGACTCCAGCCTGAATTGGGAGCCTTGAAGATGTCTGTCCACAAATGACCACTTGAAGGTAGCGTTCACTGAGGTAGCTGCTGAGCCACTGGTGCAGCTGCCCACGCAGGCCGTATACGTCGGACTTGTGTAGCACACCGGGGTGTGATACGCGATCAAACGCGCCGGCTATGTCAATGGCGAGTATGCGTGCTGCGCTTTTCTCCCCGGCTGCATGCAGCCACTGGTGGTGGAGGCTGATAAGGAGGTCGGCTGCACTATGACCATGGCGAAATCCAAACTGTCTGGTTGAGAAGACGTTGTTCGACTCGAGGAAATTTGTGATTGTTCTGCTGATGATTGTCTCCATCACCTTGGACAGAATACACAAGAGCGAAACTGGACGGTAATTGGAGGGTAGAGACTTTGATTTCCGTTTGAATATGGGGACTATGTTGGCAATCTTCCATGTCTTGGGCTGTATCCCAGTTTGGTCCGGTTATCACCAGTTCCGGCGGCCCTATCTTTGTCACCCAGTATAGGACAGGAGTCGAGGTAGAAGCTCGTGCAAGGTCGAGAATGTCGAACAGCAAACAAAAGTCAAAAGCAAAATGCAGGGGCAAGGACTGGTCACATTATAGCTCCCAGTAGACCGGGTACACCATGCAATACATGTACTGGTGAACCGTTCATGGTCATCATACCCTTCTACGGACGCTGATGCACTGCACTGGTATAGCATGGCGACCAGGCGACTACCTGGTGTACGCATTGATATGGGATTGGGTACAGGATCGTGTTTGACCGTATTCAATTGGGAATAAGGGACGAATGCTGCGTCGCACCCTCTTTGGACCAAGGCCATTCAATCCAGCTTCAAGAATACTACAGGTTCTGGGAGTTTCCCGGTTTCACTGGGAGTTTCACGTTCATCACTGCTTCTATAAGAACGAAGTTACGCTTTCCGTGAATTTTTCCACACAAATCACTATCTAGTAGAGTGCAGTCACCCAGTTTGGATGGAAGTGTGCGAGTTCGATAGGGAATAAAGGAGGAAGGGAGCGTCTCAGTTTCTTCAGACCAAGACCAATCAACTTACTTCTTTTTCGAAGTAGCACCCCGAAATTTGATTTTAGACCTTACTTCCCCATGCACAAATACTTCAGAATTACCAACAATAGTACTGAAGTACATCACTCACTCGTGGGTTTGGCGGTGGTTGAGGAATTTCGTGAGAATCTTCATGTCAAACTTGTCTTGCCCATCGGTGAGGAACACAATGACCGGATGATAACGGGAACCTTCCTCGGCACCATTAATCGCCTGAAACGCTGCTTTAAATGCCTGCAATGGTCCAATACACAACAATTAAAAAAACTTTGTTATTGGGCCACCCAGAATTAATTCGTTGTTTCGCGTCACCCGACCGACCGTCTTTTTCACCCGACCGCAAAATATATTTTTTTTTGTGCATGCAAATGTACAGAACCATAACCTGTACTGTAGACTATGTACACGCGTGACCCTAATACATGTAGTAGCACTACATGTAGCCGTCCAGGCATCGACCTCAGAAGCAGTCAAATGACAGGATGCAGCACTTGGTGACGACGTTGTCTTCTTATTATCTTTGATCCACAATCGGTCCTGAAACGGCATCAGCTCCACCACCGCGTCGCTCATTGACAGAAGTATTAGTTTTCAAGGTGAGAGCTGCTCGTCAGACTCGTTTGTCAGCGAGGCCAAGATCTGGTCCTGGAGGGACCTGGATCTGATGGGACATTGACTGCGCTGGATCATCTACAGTTAGATTTGATCGACTGGCTTGATGGACAAAAGCTATTCGATATGCACAATTGTACATGTACATGTATGCACATGCATAGCAGTAACCAAAATAAAAAATAAAATAGAAAATAAACCCGACCGACCCTGGTACAGATGAGTGAAGTGACCCCAAACAACGAATTAATTCTAGGTGGCCTTGGGAGAATTTTGAGAAAATGGTACCAGAGCTGGTATCACGCACGAGACTTTTATAATTAAAATGTTGATGCAGTCAATGTGTTGCAGCATATTTCCAGGGAACATGACATTGCGTTCACACCAAAGGATGAATAATTCCTTATCTTGATACGTATAGGTTAGGCTTGTTCAGTCGGGCATAGTGGGATCGTCTAAGACCATGATTGAGAAACAGATGGAACCCAGTTCAAGTCCTGCTTGAAAGCGGAAGGATTTTGTCCAGACTTGTGGAAACATGCAGCGAATGGGATTTGCAGTTTTTGACCACTTTGGTGGTGGGTCTGATCTCAGTGACTCACCTCCCACCGCTTTAGGAGCTTCATCTGCGCCCTGGGAGTGGTGGGGTTCCTAAGGAAGCGGAAAGCTCAGTCTAACCGAGTCTCACCGTGCAGACCGCGACTTATTTTGTTTTGTCAGTTTGTAATTGTGCCCAAACAACTTATTAATAATAATCAGATCCTGTATCTCTTGAAGCACACCCGGTGGAGCGTGGTTTTTCAGGTATTTGAAGTATGGGTGGCTTATTGCAGACAGGGGCCTATTCTGGGAAGGACCTTGAAAGTTTCAGTGTGCGGTGTGCGCCGCTGAGCGCGGACTTATCCAGCACATACATTCTCGTTGTCTTCTTCCTGAGCCCTTCTTTTGTACATTGTCCAGATGTACAAATCCGTAGAACACTAAAGATGCTTCCTGATGAGTATTGTGCGAAAGCTAGTTCGATGCATTTTCATATTTTTCATCGTTCCTTTTATTGTTCTTCACATTAAATTTCCACCATAGTTATTTCTTTGCCCATCACCACTTTCTCTAAAAATCGTTCGTGGCATTTCGATAAAGCCTTCGTGACATGACGCTTCAGCTGATTCTGTTTATTGCCATTCTTAAACTTTTCAGTGTCACCTCGCCGCCTGTTCAAACACTAAAGAGCATAATTATTGTCATATCGGGTGTTGGCTGTACTGAATCCTGTTGTGTTCACTGCTATTTCCACTGGGAAACGCACACCAGAATACTTCATGGCATGGACGGTCTTTTTTAAGAACCATGAGATACCCAATAGCTCTGTCCAGGCTGATGACGATGGCAAACTTCATTGATCTTCCCAGTAGAATGTGTGAAATTTGGTCAAGTACGCATGTATAGCACTCAACAGACATCCAATAGGCCTGGGGTGCATCTATGGGATTTCATACATCTGTGTTAATGTGAATCAAAAAGCTTATAGCCCTAGTAGTAAACCTACCCTGTTGAAGGATGTAGTTCCATAAACTCTCAGTTTCTTTAGTTCTTCACGCAGTGTTTCCAAGTCAAATTCTTCACCTCTTTGCTCTATTGTTGTTCCAGGCTTGTGGTTGAATGGGATGATTGAGAGGAAATCTCGGTTTGGATAACGGAACCTGCTTTCCACATAGTGAATGATGGAATGCAAAGCTGCTCCGAGTCGATTCGGATGGGAAGCAGCAATTCCAGAATCTTCAGGTTGCATGTCGGTATTTTCCATGGACAAAGAGGTGTCTAAAAGCAGTACATGGTGGAACGGATCATGCCTGCATCTGAACTCATGCCCCTCCAGCCTGCTGTCATCTTGTTCTGAACTGCCATGCCAGAGGTTTTTGGTGCAGAATTCAACACTCTCATGATTGTTCGATGCACACCTGTAGTGGCACTTCCCAAAGTTCTCTTGATCATGCCGTGATGTACGATCAATGAAGTTGATATGTTTCCAGAATTCATCATGAGTAAGCTCATCTTTCGGGATGTCGTCTTCATCGCCAATCTTGACATAGTCATGGCAGTGTCGTCTGCCTTCTGATTGATTTCCAGAGCAAACACCTCTGGCACTGGCAACGGTTCCACATTCCACCAGGTGAGTGTGGCCTCGACCAAGCTTCACACAGCAGGTGTGACACATCAGGTTTTCTGTTCCACGCTGTCCTTGGCTGAATTCCTCATCGTCAATGTTGAAACTAGCAGTCGCTGATGCCATAATGGTCCTCCACATGAAGCCATGATTTGCATCGTGCCTCCCACTGTGCTCGCCTGGTAACGTGCATAGTTTGGAACACATTGGACAAGGTTCACCGCAGATGTGTACACGGTTGCTTTGGCCATTCTCACCACAATGATGCTCATTAGGATTAACATGTTCCATTTGATCACATGGGATTCGAATGCCGCACTTGTATCGACCGCCCACTCCAGCGAGAACATCACGGCCACCGCTGTCAACAAACTCCAGGTTCTCATCAACTTTGCGCCCAACAGATTCTTCATAACAAAAGTTTGCGGCATTGCAATCTTCAGGACATGCATGGCTCCTGCCACAGAGATGCTCAGCAGCATGGAAATGATCTCGAGACCTACACGTCCTTTCACATGCATTCTTGGCGTGCATCCGGCACGGGTGTTTGCAAATCTTTGCATCACAGTCATGGCGGTGGCTGCTTACGTCGTGAAGAGATTTGACAGGTACAGTGCACCTATCATTGCAATGGGCTGCATCGCATGTCTCACTGCACACATGTTCTTCACCACAGTCGTGCTCCTCATCCTCAGGGTGGCGCTTCTTCATGCACCATTGTTTACACTTTGTCATTTTCACCAAGGTGCATGGCTGGGTACATTTGTGTTGACAGCAGTTATGAACTGATCCTTGATGTCCAGCCGGATATGCACACTGTGCCCGCTCCATAGTGTCACAATATTCACACTGCCGGTGGCACTTATGATCTCCAAGGCAATTGTGAAGACCAGTGGCATGATGTCTCTGCAGCAGGCATGGATACTGACATCCACTTGCCCCACATACTTGTCCACACAGTGTCAACTCATTTTTCAGCAAGGCACTGATGACTTGTTGCCGCAGCTCGTCAATCTTGATATCTTCAATACTTCCAAGCATATTCCATGCCCATTCCTTCACACGATGCTCTCGACGCTGACATACGGCAGTCAGGAATCCCTGGAATTTTGTTGTCCAGTCATTTACATCATCAGCGTCTGAGCGGGCTTGGTGGATCTTCACAAATTTCTTGCGCAGAGAGACAATCAATTCTTGGAGGCGTTTCCCTTGCTGAAATGAGATGTTTTTATCTGGGAAATCACAAACTGTCTCAGTAGCAAAACTCAAGACAAGAGGTTCATCAGGTACTTCACTTCCATCAGCAAGTCGCAGGGGTGCAGTGCCTTTACCCTTCTCGAGAACACCATCAGCCACCGCCTTGGTCAGATGTTGCCGGATTTCGTCCCGCCGTTGACGGATTTGTGTTTCCCTGATGTTTCCCCACACACCACAATGAACATTCGCCAGAACAGTCTTGAAGATATCCAGAAAACCTGGTCCACTGCTGAAGTCTGGCACTTTGTCCGATTTTAAGTAGATGGTTGCTTTTTTCAATTCAGAATAGAACTGGGACTCTTGGAAAGGCGGGAAAATGTGTACAACTCGCTGATATCGATACAACTTCCCGAGAAAGTTGTCTGAATCTTGAGCGCATATCTGATCAATCTTTGTCTCAATCTCCTTGCAAACCTCCAGACAATCTTCGGATTTCACATCTTTAACATTGACATAGAACCATCCACGAAGTAGTTCCTGGCCCTCAATAAGATGTGCTCCTCTCTTGAAAGCCTTGAACATTTCTGCTGTTTCCTTGTAGAAGGCCATCTCTGTCTTGAACACTGTCATACTGCTGATAGTAGCATTGGTCACTGACAGAAGAATGTCCTCTTGGGCATCGCGCTCTACAGATCCAAGGCCCTCAAAGTCAAGGATGACATAAAGACAACCATCAAGTGGGCGCATTGTCATCCATATTCCTTTTGTACAGCGATGTCCAGAGATGTCAAACATAGATCCAGTGGCGTGATTGAGAAAATAACTCTTTCCAGTGGTCTGTTTTCCCATGCTTGACAAGACTTTGACTTTGCCATGCCAAGTCTTGAGCATGTCTTCATAGAGTCCAAATGCGATTGCCTGCCTGGATTTTACCGGGTCACGAGTCGCTATGACTGTGTCACTGTCTTGGTCAGTCTCCAGAATACAGATTTTGTTGGCTTCAACGCGTGCAATTTGGACTGGTACAAGGCTGGCAACGCGCCATAGCCAGCTAGACACACTCATACCCGTCCAGGCAAGCTGTGCATTCAAACTCGAAGAGAATGTTAGACACCACGGAGTGAGCCTGAAGTTCACCCGGGGCTTACGAGTTGAGGAATCGAGGCCATCCAGAATATTGTCCACATAGTCGCTGCACAAGCGTGAATCAAATTGATCTTCAGCGTCATCATGTGTGATGCAACAGATATCTACCCGTCTTCTGCAAAATGCGAAGTAGTCTTCTATGCTGAATTTCTCATAGATGAAGTGGAAGTAATCCAGGTAGTTCCATGGCCTCTGGCACTTGGCTGTTTTTGATGGAGACGGCCTTTCACCATAGTAGTTTGTCTCGATGGTTGCGGCGGCACCTCGTAGCGATGTCAAACAAAGTCGGATTACATTAGCTTCAGGATCAAAAGCAGCCAAGTAAGTCTGACAACCAATCAGCATGAACTGCAAACTTTCCAGGCATTTGGGTGGCATCATGGATGATTCGATACGTAGAGTTTTCACCAAGTCTGCTGTTGCCAGAGAATAGATATAGATGTAGGATGCCGATGGCTCTGACTCCGTGGACATGGGTGCAACGCTTGTTGCAGCAGACATTCCACGTTGTTTTTCTGGATCAGTAGTGGCAATAATTAGATGTGAACCTTCTGGAGTGATCAGTGATGCTTTGACAGTGGGGAGTTCTTTAATGCGATTCGGTCTTAGCTCCGGTCTCTCAGCCTCAACATCGTAGATAAGACACGTGTGATTATCAAACAGTAAGCACACCACTTGACCATTACTGGCATTAGCCATAGAATTACACGATAGCCGTAGTTGCTTCAATGATGTACCCATCGCTTGACCTTGATATTTGATCATTCCATAGCTCTTGGCTGATGAGAAATCCTTCCCAAAAGAATAAAACTGAACCTCTCCAGAACGAGGTAGATGCATCACCATGAGACGTGACGTTTCATCAAGATCCAACATGTTGATGGCCCTCTTCAATGTGATAACAGGTGGAGGCAAAGCTGTGTAAGAAACATCATTAGCGGGGAGTAAATACATTCCATAAGTCTGCTTTCCGGCCTCTTGAATTACCACCAATGGCTTTCCCGTCTTGAGAACTGTGATAAATAGCAAGTTTTCTTCCTCTTGCAAAGGCACATTTGCCTGTCGAATCTTAATGTCGGCAGATGGTAGATAGTCGGGATCTTGATCTACATGCTCCAACTCGTCTCCATGTAGTTCCAGTGAGTACAAGGAATGAAGACGTTCACAGGTAGGTTGCAGCTGCATTTTGTACTTGACTGTCAAAGTCATGTCCGTTTTGTTGAAAGCCATCCTTTTGAAGCAAACATTCAAGTCCGGAGGTGGATTAATATGAAGCTTGACTTGCTCTGCGGCAAGTCGGACAAGTTCCATCTTCTCTTCAGCAGGAGTGTGCTGCGTGTCAGTCTGTTGACCTCTTGATTTGGCTTGAGTTGCGGCCACGCTTTTCCATGAAGGTGCAATTCTTGATAGCATGTTTGCTTTAGCCATCTGCTTTGGTTGAGGTTTCTTTCTTAAGACGTTGACTAGTTGGGTCAGGCAGTCCATGGCAACCTCTTGGCAGGCAGTATCTTTAAAGACAGCTGCGAGGGGAGATTTTTCATCATAGTGGCTTGTTTGGCTGGAGGTTTTCAAAGCAGCTTCTAGAGACACCTTGTCATAATCACGTTCGCCAATGACACTGGCCAGTTGTAGTTGCTTGGTCAGCTGATCTTGTTTCCCCGATACCAAGATGAATCTGGTCATAGCTTGAAGTTTTTCTCCCGTCACCGAGGTTGAGTCCTGAATCTGCTGCAAGCACCAGCCATACGCAGCGTCCATATTCTTAAGTGGGGACACAGCCTGCTGCAAAAGTTCCTCAGTTTTCCGGCGATTTTTCGACTCATCCTTAGCATCCTTAGCATGCTGGCCAATGTATTCAAACACATCTGACTGGTGCTTTTCCAACGTTGCCCTTTCCTCAGTCAGATGTTCAATGCCAGAGAGAAAGTGGCAAGCAAGATGACAATTCTCGAGGATATACAACTTTGCCGTGGAGTGCATCTTCTGGTCAAGGCTAACCTGCTGTGGATCATCTGCAATTGACTGTACTGAAGTAAGATCAAAGTGGAGTTGCTGTGTTGCCTCCAGAAAATCATCTTTCGAGAAACAAAGATCCTCACCATAGTGCGATTGATGACATGCGACTTTCATTTTCTCAAACAAGTCTTGGAGAGGCTGCTTGATAGGGTTGGTAATAGTTTTCGTCTGCATTTTTCCATACTTCTTTTTGCCTGCCATATGCTTGCTAGCATGAAAGCAGCCAATAGCACTGCAGTTCTGGCAAAGGCCAGCATCACATCCATCCAGTCGTGGAACAACTTGTGACACATCCACTTGAAAGCCTGATTTCACTGAAATGTTCGTCTTTTCTCCTGTTAAACGTGTTATAATTGCCGGAAACATCCGCTCTTGATGATCTGCTTGTCCAAAGTTGGGTAGTACTTTGAAAGAAGAGAGCTCATCTTTGTCGTAGAAGACAAGCAGCGGTCTGCAGAGTTCCACCAGACAGCGAACCAAAAGGCAGCTGATGTTCTTGCGTGAGATTGAGGAAAATGCATCCTCCGGTGCATTGAACACCAAGTACTGGATATTACCACCGTTGTTCAGGCAATATATGCCTGGCTTTCCATCTCTGATCTTGCTCACAGCTGCTGGCTCAAGTGAAAGGCGCAGTTGTAGCCAACGGATCATCCGTTCTTTGTTTCCATAGAGACCAACAGTTGCCAATGTGCATTCTTGCAATTTACTGTCAATTGCCCATAGCGCTTTCCTGTTTATTGGCAGCTTGTGGAGTTCAGCAATCCGGTAGATGCTTCTCTTGCCTACTCGTACCTTGGCCACAATTTCTTTCTGTTCCAGGTGATCGTGAACTTTAAGAAGGCGCAGCACTTGAAAAGGCTGTTCGCCACCATCTTCACGCAGGCGGTTTGCATCAAACATA